GGGGTGTTGTTGAGCTTGTGGCGTGGAGCATGCTGTAGGATACATTCAAGGATGTTCGGATTGATGACAGACCCGTGGTGGAGGAGGTCTCTAAAGTGCTCTCCCAAACGTTGTTAGATGGTTTCTTTATCTTTAATAAGAGTCACTCCATCCTTGACCAGCAGTGGAGTAGGGACTTGGGTGTTTGGTCTGTTTGTGGTCTTGACAGCACAGAAGAACAACCATGCATATCACGGTTGTTGGCTACTTTTTGGACTTTCTCCCCACACCACCCATTCTTTATGTCACGAGTTTGTTGTTGGACCTCAGCCTTCAGTTGCCTGTAGGCCTGTCTTTTCTCTTCAGAGTGTGGTTGTTGTTTTACGCTGAGAAATGCCATCCACTTCTGGCTTAACAGTTCTTGGATCTCCTCATCATTCTCATCAAACCGGTCTTGGTATTTCCTGGTTGAATGGCTGACCTGAGTTTTTGCAGGCATTGATGATGGCATTGTTAAGGACAGATCAGAGGCTGCTGGGATCCTGCAACTCGGTGTCACTGAGGGTCGCTAGGTTTGTGGAAAGGAGCTGGTTGTATGAAGCTTTATTCCTGATCTTTGAGTGCATCAATGTTGAACTTTTTGTAGTACTACTTCTGTTGACTCCACTGCGGCAGGGCTATATTTATATTGATCCTGTTTTGGATCAGACGATGGTCCGTCCAGCAGTCATCAGCTCCTGTCATGGCGCAGGTGATTTCAACATCTTCCTGATCCCTCTCTTTGACAGTCAAGGAGGTGCCAGTGTTGGGAATGTGGGTGCTGTCATATTGTCTTATATTTGCTCATGTTGGGGAACAGTGTAGGTGATGAGGAGGTTGTGTTCATGGCATTAGGTCAGGAGAAGGGTGCCATTTTGAGTTTTGCTTACCTACTCTCTCCTTCATAATTACATCGCCCCAAAAGTCTGCAGTTTCACCGACTCTGGCGTTGAAGTTGCTGAGGACCATTAGTTTGTCCTCTGCAGGGACCCGTGAGAGAGATTGGTCAAGGCTGGAGTAGAATTTCTCCTTATCCTCAGCTACTGCATTGAGCATTGGTGTACAGCACTGAATACTGTGACATACTGGTTCCAAGCTAAGGGGAATCAAAGTGTCATAAGATTTTGCTTATTCCACAGGGGGAGTTTTTGAGTTGGTCCGCTAGTTCATTTTTGATGGCGAAGCCAACTCTGTGGATGCGGCGCTGTTCTTTGGCCTTGCCTTTCCAGAAAAAGGTGTAGCCACCACATTTCTCTCTGAGCTGCCCGCTCCCCTGCCTGCCAGGTTTCACCCAAGGCCACGATGTCAATATCATGGCACCTAAGTTCCCGAGCAATGATGGCAGTGCAATGTTCTGGTCTGTCTCTGGCAGGACTGCCCATAAGGGTCCTGATGTTCCAGGTCCCAAACTTTATCCTGAGGGTGTGGAAGGTGCCTGTGTGAGAGTCCTTTTAAAGTGAGGAAACCATTGCACTGCTAAGCCCATGTGGTAGCCGGTGTGCGAGGTCTTGGTCCAGTGGTGAGGTGGGGTGGGGTGAGTCCAAGGCAACTGGAGACCAGGCACTGCTGTTTGGCCTTAGATCGCCTGCAGTGGAGTGCAGACAAATAGTTCAGCGCTGGGCAGCGCATCCTGCTGAGTTAGTGTGAGGTCTGAGGTGAGGAGAGTGGGAGGAAGGGGAGAGGACAAGGAGGACAGTGCAGATCCTGTCATTGCGTGGTCATTCTCAGTCTGTGATTGTGATATCACTGGGCTGAGGATGGGGGTTTATAAGATCACTGGGGTGGGAGTGGGGCGAGTTTATATTTTAAAAAATGTGGTTTGGTGGGGTTCATAAAATCACTGAACTGATGGGTGAGTAGTTTATAACATTACTCGGCTGGTAGGAGTTTATGTAAGCACTGGACTATAAGGGTTTTATGATTACTGGGCTGGGCCGTTTACAAAAGCACTGAAACTCATTGGGGGTGTTTTATAAAACACATGGCTCTCAAGTGTTGTTAATTTAAAAAAAAGCACTGCTCTTGGGCAGTGTTATAAAGATTACTGGGGGCTTTAAAAACACTAAAAGCTGTGGGCTGGGCAAGTTATATAAATGTTGGGCTGGGAGGGTATTAAAATATTACTGGGTTGTGGGGTGTTATAAAATTACCGGGGCCATTATAAAACACTGGGCTTGGGGGAGTTGTTTTAAAATTACTGGAGTTTATATAACCACTGGTCTATGGGTTATATGAGCACAAGGCTGGGTGGGGTGGGGTCTGGGGGGTCTAGTTATAAAAATTACTGGGTTGAGGGATGTTATAAAATTACTGGGTGTTACATAACCACTGGGCTGGGGATTGTTACGAAAATTAATGGATACAGGAGTTTGTTATAAAATTATTGTGGGTTACATAAACACTGGGCTGGGGTTTGGTTATTAAATTACTTGGGAGGGGGGTTGGTTATATAAACTTTGGATTGAGCGCATGGGAATATTACACAAATTTGCCACAGCAGCAACAGGATCTCCAGCTGGCAGGTGGGCAGTTTGTAGGCTGTGCAGCCACTGCTAGGCTCCATTCCAAGCGCCAGAATACCCATTTCGAAGGCAGCCAGGGAGACAGGAGGAGCAGTGCTCGGGTCTTAGTCCTTGGAGCTGTGTGAGCAGCAGGTGTCTAGTGGAGAATGAGAAGTAGAGGTAAGGGAGGGAGGGAGGGAGGGCAGGCAGGCAGTTGTAGTCCAGGTTATCACCGCCATCTTGGAAAACCTGGCATTGTTAAATAACGTGTTGTGACTATCTAGTGATTGGCTGAGGATTGTCCTGATTTCACACTCTGGTCAAGTTCTGCAACTGAAGTTTGTAGTTTGTGATACTGAGTTAGATTTATACTGAAAGCATATCGATGCTACCTGAAATTTCATTAGCATGAAAGCACCTTTTTGCAATGCAAGGCACTTGGTGGGGGGACGTGGAAATAGAAAATCTGTCTTCAGATGATTTCAATAAAATCTTAAAAAAAAGTCTGTGTGCACTGTCATGACACAGAGCCTTGCTCCTAAAAGGAAATTATCGACATGCAATCCACCATTTTCTATTCATTCACCTTCGTGGTGGAAGAATCATGGGTTGTTCAGAATTTCCTTATTGGCATGCACTGCTGGCTACAGATGCTTCTCACCACGCACACTGACATCTCTGACCTTTCTATTTTTTGAGCAGATGAAATACAGTGAATTAATCAGTGCAAGTGTAGATAAGACCTCAAATTTTAGAATGTTTAGACAATTTGAATTTCTTTAGCGTCATGCAGAGAGAAAGGGCTTGATCCAGCAGGTGAAGGGCATTTGATGGCACTGATTGAGGGGAAACTGTCCAAGATCCACAGTCTTACCTCTTCAGGTATCTGTAATTTCTGTACCCCTACCATCCCAGTGACCTCGGGCTGCTTTCACACCTGCACCCCTTACCAAATTCCACCTACCCCATATCTGACAATCTAACTGCTGCAAGACAGGTAACCTGGGAGAAAATTTAATAAGCATTGTGAAGTTATTTTTCACCAGAATGCCAAGGAAATCCATACTTCTGGGTTTCCCATTAAGAGATCTGCCTTTACTCTCTTCAGGATCACAAGCAAATAGAGATTTGGGAATCAGTAAAGCATTTGGAACGTAGCTTTCTCTCTGCAGTATAGGCTGGGGAACTCCCAAGATAGGGGCACTACATTGGCACCATTGGCACAAGTTTGCTTTTACAAGGTGACTGGTTTGCCTTAGCAATTTCCATCATGTGTGATGAATGACTAAAATGTGACAAAAATATGGTTTTGTAGATGTAATACAGGTACAAAATCTCTTAATACACTAAAGATGATTGCGAGGTTTAATGGATTCAATAGCCATAACCACATTTCAAACTCTTACTTATCAACATTTCATCTTCCTAAGGATCCAGAATGCTAGGAATGTTTATTCTATAAATAAATGAGTCAATTATTTAATCATACTGTATTTGTCCTAACAGTACTTGAGCATGTGCAGCACCTCACTATTTACAGATTGGGGTATCAAGTGCAAAATATAGAAGCAACTTGCCAGATAAAAATTTTTAAGCTTACTTTTAGAGTCATAGAGATATAAAGCACGGAAACAGACCCCTCAGTCCAACTCCTCCACACTGACCAGATATCCTAAATAAATCTAGTCCCATTTGCCAGCATTTGGCCATATCCTCTAAACCCTAAATAAAAACCTAAAGAACTGTGGATGCTGTAAATCAGGGAAAGGGTCTGAGGAAGGGTCACCGGACCCGAAATGTTAACTCTGTTTTCTCCTTCACAGATGCTGCCAAACCTGCTGAGCTTTTCCAGCAACTTTGTTTTTATTCCTCTAAATCCTTCCTATTCATGTACCCATCCAGATGCCTTTTAAACGTTGTAATTGTACCAGTTTGCACCACTCCCTCTGACAGCTCATTCCATGCACACACCACCTTCTGTGTGAAAAAAGTTGCCCTTTAGGTCCCTTTTAAATCTTTCCCCTCTCACCTTAAACCTCTGCCCTTCAGTTTTGGACTCCCTCACCCCGGGGAAAAGAGCTTGGCTATTTACCCCATCCATGCCCCTCATGATTTTATAAACCTCTGAGGTCACCCCTCAGCCTCCGATGTTCCAGGAAAAATAGCCCCTGTCTATTCAGCCTCTCCCTATAACTCAGACCCTCCAATCTTGGCAATATACTTGTGATTCTTTTTTGAACCATTTAGAGTTTCACAACATCCTTCCAATAGCAGGGAGACCAGAACTGTAAGCAGTATTCCGATAATTTGCTGTTTTGTTTTAGTTTTCTGATTTGACTGACTGAGGAAAATAGTTCTGCATTTACAGAAATTGTTTGATGTTTCTTGTACATAACCCAGAAGACATCTTTCATCATATGAAATGCTTTCAGTGTAAATTAGAAATTATTTCCAAGTCCTAATGCTAACTTTTTTTTGTAGAAAATGGGCATTCTGGCCCTTATCAATGAGGAGAGCCATTTTCCAAAGGGCACGGATAATACTTTGCTGGCTAAGCTACACAGTCAGCATTCGGTAGGTGGTATACAGGCAACTAGGCCTCAGTTAAGTTAATTCTCCAGCATTTAGTTTGCTCATATCTGTGGTTTATTATACTCCATCAATTGGACTGTAAAGAGTCAAAATCTAACAGACACCCTGGTAAGTGTCAGTTCTGTATGGGGTTTACCTGTTGGATGGATGTGAAATATTGGCAAAAATTATGATAAGCAAGGTTAAGGAAATTGAGTGGCTTCTGCTGAATTTCCCTGAAAATGCAACCCTAGCATTAGAGGAAGGATACCTCAAATAGATCCAAGTTGTCTCCTCTTCGAAGGTGGCTCAATGTTCAATTACTGATCTTCCCGCCAGCCTCTTATTCCAATCAATCTTGCTCCATTCTGTTCTAGCCCCATTAAAAGATGTTTTGTACCAATTGATTTTCTTGCTCAGGATTGTTGCATGTCATTCTCCAATACCAATCTGAACCTTATGATACAATGATCACTGTCTCCTAAATGATCCCCCCCACTGTCAGTTGATCCACTTTGCTGAGCTCATTTCCAAGGACCGACCATCCTTGTTGGATTGGGCACATACTGCTATAGGAAACTCTCCTTAATACAATCCAGGAACACTTGACCCTTGATGCCCCTTAGACTACCAGTATTCCAGTCTGTAATTAGATAATTGAAGTCCCCCATTATAACTGTTTTATAATGCTGGCAATTCTCTGTAATTCAATTCACTTTAAACCTGTTCTCTCTCCTGAATTCTTTTATGAGTGGGACCAATTTCTCTCTATCTACCCAATCTAGACCTCTCATGAATTTGAAAATTCTGTCGTGTTTCCTGTCAGCCACCTTATTTCTGCAAGCTACAGTCCCAATCTCTCCGATCAAACATCATAACTGAAATTACTTATCACTGGGAATGATTTTGTAAACTGCCCCTGCAGTTTTTCTAATGCATTCACAACTTTTCAAGAGTATGGCATCTGGAACTGTGTATGGTACTGCAGCTGAGGCCTAGCAAGTGTCTTGTATAAGTTTGTCATATCGTCCTTTGTCCTAACACCTTCATTGACCTATGCATTTATATGTATCCAGCTCCCTCTTATGCATCCCCTTAAGTATTGTACCCCTTATTTAGTGTTCTCTTACCAAAAGGCATGTCCTCATACTTCTTCACATTGAGCTTCATCTGCCAGCTATCTGCCTATTCATCAAGTTATCGGTGTCCTTTTGGAGTTCTACACTGTCCTGTCAATTCAGTGTTTCCAATGTTCTTAATATTCACAAACTTTGGAATTGCTGCTATATGTCAGGAACAGCAAGGGTTCCAGTACTGACCCTCAGAAAAATCCATGACAAAGCTTCCTCCAGCCCAAAAAAAAATCCATTTGACACTCCTCTTTGTTTCCTGTTACTCAATTTTTTTTATCTACAATGCTACTGTCCCTTTGTGTTCCATTAGCTATAATTTTTCTCACAAGGGTGTTGTATGACACCACTAAATGGTGGTGGATGAGGAAGTGGAAGGGTGGGTTAGTGAGTTTGCCGATGACATGAAGGTTGGTGGAGTTGTGGACAGCGTGGAGGGCTATTGTAGGTTGCAATGGGACATTGACATGATGCAGAGTTGGGCAAAGAAGTGGCAGATGGAATTCAACCCAGAAAAGTGTGAAGTGATTCATTTTGGAAGGTCGAATTTGAATGCAGAATACAGGGTTAATGGCAGGATTCTCAGCAGTGTGGAGGAACAGAGGGATCTTGGGGTCCACAGTCATAGATCCCTCAAAGTTGTGACCCAAGTTGATAGGGTTGTAAAGAAGGCGTATGGTGTGTTGGCTTTCATTGGCAGGGGAATTGAGTTTAAGAGCCGCGAGGTTATGCTGCAGCTCTATAAAACTCTAGTTAGACCACACTTGGAATATTGTGTTCAGTTCTGGTCACCTCATTATAGGAAAGATGTGGAAGCTTTAGAGAGGGTGCAGAGGAGATTTACCAGGGTGCTGCCTGGACTGGAGGGCAGGTCTTAAAAGGAAAGGTTGAGGGAGCTAGGGCTTTTCTCATTGGAGCGAAGAAGGATAAGAGGTGACTTGATAGAGGTTTGCAAGATGATGAGATGCATAAATAGAGTGGATAGTCAGAGACTTTTTCCCAGGGCGGAAATGACTATTACGAGGGGGCATAATTTTAAGGTTATTGGAAGAAGGTGCAGGGGAGATGTCAGAGGTAGGTTCTTCACACAGAGAGTGGTGGGCGTGTGGAATGCGCTGCCGGCAGCGGTAGTGGAGTCAAATACTTTAGGGACTTTTAAGCGTCTCTTGGATAGGCGCATGGAGGATAGTAAAATGTAGGGTATGCAGGGTAGATTGATCTTAGTAGGGTAATAGGTCAGCACGACATCGTGGACCGAAGGGCCCGTACTATGCTGTACTGTTCTATGTTCAATGTTCTAAATCTCTCAAAAGTCCATGTACACAACATAACGGTATCACCCTTATCGACTCTTCCAAAAAAAGTTCTGCAAGTTAGTAAAACACTTCCTACTTTAGAAATCCATGTCTGCTCTTTCTAAACAACCCAACTTTTTCAACTAATTGTACCTCGAATATTTTCCTCTAAAAGCTTCCTCACCACTGATGTTAAATTAACTGGTACATAATTGTTGAACTTTGTGTTACAACCTTCTTTGATCATGGGTGTGATGTCTGCAATTCAACAATCCTCTGGTATCTCTCCCATGTCTAGGAAAAACTGATTATTACTAGTACTGCTGCAATTTATCCTCCCTTCCTCCTCCAATATCCTTGGATGCATCTCATCCAATCCCATTATTTTGTCGACTTTTAACATGGAAAACCTATACAAAGTTTCTTTTGTTATCAATTCTGAACCCTTCAGAGCTTCCTCCTCTGTCACCATGGCCTGGCCTTAGAAAAAGCAGATATGGAGTATTCATTTAACACCTCAACCATGCTTTTTGCCTGCATGTTTAAATTTCCTTTTAGTCCTTAATCGGCCCTGCAACTGCTTTTGAAGCCCGTATGATATTGATGTGCCTATGGAAGACTTTGGAACTCCCCTTTATTGCTGACCACCAATCTTTTCTCATAATCCCTCTTTGCTTCTCTGATATATGTTTTTTCCTCCCCTCTGAGCCTTGTGTATCTCTATTGGCTCATGAGGTATGTCCTGCCTAAAACCTGTCGTAAGCAAGTTTTTATTTCATATCTTGATTTCTACGTTTTTGTCAACCAAGGAGCTCTGGATTTGTGTCTCGTCTCATTCCCTTTTAAGGGAATATACCTGAACCATTTCTTTGAAGTTAGCTCATTATTTAGCTGCAGCTTTTCCTATAAACCCTTTGTTTTGGTCTGTCTGGCCCAGTTCTGTTCTTGTTCTGTTGAAGTGGGCTCTTTTCCAATCCCCATTCAATTGTTCATCTTCTGGATTGCTGATTGATCTTTTCTAACATCATCCTAAGCCATATGAGACAATGACTGCTGTCTCATAAATGATCTCTCACTGACACTTGATCTAATTCACCAACCTCATTTCCAAAAACCAGGTCCAACAGTGCATGCTTTCTACTTGGCTTTGACATATACCGCTGTAGGCTATTTTCCTGCACACGATCTAAGAACGTTTGCTCTCTCTGCCTGTAAAGCTTTCACTGTCCCAGACTATGTTTGGGTGAAGTCCCCAGTTATAGCACTGTATTAAAGTTGATGTGTCTTTGTTTTCCTGTGTATTTGTTTACCTGCATCTATCCCACTAGTTGGTGGTAATAGATTACAATGTAATTGCATCCTTTTTTTGTTCCTTGGCTATTCTAGCCAGGTTGAATCTGACCTTGAACCCTCCATGCCATCCTCTTTCTCCAACACAATAATGCTATCCTTAATGTAGGAACAAATTACTGCAGATGCTGGAATCTGTACTGCAAACAACAAATACTGGAGATTACAGCAGGTCAGACAGCACCCATGGAAAGAGAGCAAGCTATCGTTGAGTCTAGATGACTCTTCATCAGAGCTGAAGTGAAGTGTGGAAGAGACAGCAGTTATGCTATAGTTTTTTCGGGATCGGGGGGGTTAGTGGGTACAGGGTGCATCTTCACCAGCACCCTACACCCACTACCCCCACACCCCCACCTCCCAAAACTATAGTATAAATGCAGTCCCCTCCACACTTCACTTCAGCACTGATGAAGAGGCATCTAGACTCAATGTTAGCTTGCTCTCTCTCCATGGATGCTGTCTGACCTACTGGATCTCCAGCATTTGTTGTTTGCAATGCTATCCTTTACTATTGCTGCCACCCCTCCACCTTTCCTATCACTTCTGAACACCTTATACCCACAGTAACCCTGTCACAGAAATCAATACTTTGCCTTTGACTATTGACAATCTATTTGTGAATCTTGGTATTCTTCTCTCACCTTGGTTCCCACATTCTTACCAAAATGGTTTATAGTCCTTCCAAATGCCCTGGCAAAACGAGGAACTCAGTCCTTGTTCTGCTCAGATACAACCCATCTATGTGTTGTACAACTACAAACTTTCCCAGTATTCTAGAAAATTAAAACACACCCCTCCCGCACTATCTTTGCAGGCTCTCATTTATCTCCCTTCTCCTTCTATTTCTGTACGCACTTAAACATTTGGCACTGGGAGTATTCTGGAGATGATTATTGTAGATATTCTGCACATATTTGCACACACATTGTGCCTAGTTCCCTAAATTCTGATTTAAGGACCACATCTTCCTTCCTATACAAGTCATTGGTACAATGTGGATCACACCTTCAGGCAGTTTACCTTCCCCCACGCAAACCCAGAGGGTTCTGAGAAAGAGTCACCGGACCTGAAACGTTAACTCTGTTTTCTCCTCCACAGATGCTGCCAGACCTGCTGAGCTTTTCCAGCAACTTTGTTCTTGTTCCTGATTTACAGCATCCGCAGTTCTTTTGGTTTTTATCATTCAACATGAAGTCGCATCTATGACTATGGAAACATCTGTCTGTTGCCCTAACTGATGAATCACCTGTCAGTATTGCTGCTCCTTCTTCCAATCCGCTACAATTGAGCCCTTCATGGTGCCACAAACTTGGGTCTGACTACTCTCTTGAAGAAACAGTGAGATTGATAGCCTTTGATATCAAAGCTGCATTCGACTGAATATGGCATAAAGAAGCCCTAGCAAAACTAGAATCATTGGGTCTCAGGGGGCAAACTCTCTGTTGTTGGAGTCATACCTGGCACTTAGAAAGATGGTTGTGGTTTTTTTGGAGGTCGTGTCATTTCAGCTGGAGTTCTCTGCAGGAATTCTTCAGGGTAGTGTCCATGGCCCAACCATCTTCAGTTGCTTCATGAATGACCTTCCCTCCATCATAAAGTCAGAAGAGGGGATGTTCACCAATGATTGCACAGTGTTCAGCACTATTTGTGATTAGGCAGATACTGAAGCAGCCCTTGTTCAAGTACAGTAAGGTGTGGGCAATATCCAGGCTTGGTCTGACAAGTGGGCCATAACATTTGCTCCACTCAAATGTCAGGCTATGACTATCATAGAATTCTACAGTGTGGAAGTAGGCCATTTGGCCTATCAGGTCTGCACTGACCCTCTGAAGTGCAACCCACTCAGACTCAACCCCTACCCAATCCCTGTAACCCTGCATTTCCCTTGGCTAATCCACCTAACCTACACATCTAAGGTTCTTGTGTAGATCTGTAGCTTGGGTTGTGGATGCTGTGGTTGGATAACAACATCAGTGCAGCCTCTGATGAAGCGCTGTGTTTTTTCCCATCTGGTATTTAAACTCTGGGGTCCGTTGGATTTGATTACCTCATTTTTGGTTTTCCTTCGCAGAGGTGTATATATAGGGTCTAGTTCTGTGTGTTTGCTGATGAACTTCTTGGTGGAGAGCCAGGCAACTAGGGCTAACTCGAACCAAAGACCTCTTACCCACTATGGACAGAACCAACGTAGTATACAAAATTCCATGCAAGGACTGCGACAAACATTACATTGGACAGACAGGAAGAAAATTGGCCACAAGGTGCATGAACACCAACTAGCAACAAAAAGACATGACCAATAGTCACTCATCTCCATTCACATGGATAAGGAGAACTACCAGTTTGATTGGGACAACACCAGGATCCTAGGACAGGTCAAGCAGAGACAAGCACGGGAATTCCTAGAGGCCTGGTTCTCCACCAAGAAGGCCATCAACAAACTAGAACCAGACCCTATATATACACCACTCCGAAGGAAAACCGGAAATGAGGTAATCAAATCCAACGGATCTCAGAGTTTAAAAACCAGGTGGGATAACACAACAGCACTTCACTGGAGGCTGCACTGATGTTACCCAGCAGGGTAATGAAATGTCTACGAACTAACGAACCAGCTCGGCGAGTGAACCAACCACAGTAACCTACACATCCCTGAACAGTACAGGTAATTTAGCTTAGCCAATCTACCTTATCCACAGATCTTTGGACTATGGGAGGAAACCTGCATAAACACGGGGAGAATGTACAAACTCCACGCAGTCGCCCAAGGCTGGAATCTAACCACTGAGCCACTGTGCCACCCCCAGACTATCACCAATAAGAGACAATGTAACCACTGCCCCATAACATTCAATGATGTTACCATCACTGAATTCCCGTACTATTAACATCCTGGGGTTACGCTTGACCAGAAAAATCACCTGGACTTGCCACGTAAACACAGCGGCTACAGGGGCAGGTCAGAGCTAGGAATACTGAGGTGAATAACTCACTTCCTGATTCCCTAAAGCCTGTCCACCATGTACAAGGCACAAGTCTGGAGTGTGATGGGATACTCCCCACTTTCCTGGTTGGGTACAGTTCCACTAACACTGAAGAAGCTTGACACCGTACAGGGCAAAGCAGTCCGCTTGGTTGGGAGTGCATCCACTCCCTCCACCACAGACACTCAGTAGCAGCAGTGTGTACTATTTACAAGAAATTCACTAAAGATCCTCAGACAGCATCTTCAAAACTTAAGACCACTTCCATCTTGAAGGACAAGGGCAGCAAATACATGGGAACACCACCATCTCCAAGTTCCCCTCCAACCCATTTACCATCCTGACTTGGAAATATGTCGCTGTTTCTTCACTGTCGCCAGGTCAAAATCCTAGAATTCCCTCCCTAATGGTATTGTGGGTCAACCCACAGCAAGTGGACTGCAGCGGTTCAGGAAGGCAGCTCATCACCACCTTCTTAAGGACAACTAGGATGGGCAACAAATGCTGGCCAGCCAACAACAGCCATATCCCACAAATGAATTTTTTAAAAAAAAATAATGAACAGTATCTCGGGGATTCCTGCAGTTTCTCTTGGACTTTCTGGTGATCTCTCATTCGCTTTTTCTGCCTCTAGGATCTTAAGTTGTCGTGTGTTCCCCATTCTGACTTTTTCACTAGTGACCTAATTATATTGCTATTTTTTTTCCAGAAAAATCTTTTTTATGTGAAACCTAGAGTCATTGACCATTATTTTGGAGTGAAGCACTATGCTGGCGAGGTATATATATTTATGTTTTCTCTCATGTAATCTCATCTTCAGTTATTTTCAATAGCATTTTAATGTGTTTACTAATAATTGACTGAGAGAAGTTTCACATTGCCCTTAATAGCTTTGTTCAATTAATTTTCATTTTATCTTATAATTATAAACTGACCTGTTCTTTTCTATCCTAAGGTTTTATACCATGTAAAGGGAATTCTAGAGAAGAACAGAGATACATTCAGACGTGATGTACTAAATTTGTTATGTGAAAGCAGGTACCAACTTTGAATCAAGTGTAGTTTATAGAGTTCGTTTTCTTTTTGGGGTAGAAGGAGAGAAGGGAATAAGCAGAACTATAATCAGATGACTTTGGTGAAGTGGTCGTGGAGTGGAGTGGGGTGCATGGAGAAAACACAATTAAAAATAAACTGAACCTCATCTAGGGCATTTTTTCCTTACTCATTTTGCATTACTAGAAGTTGCCCTAATTGTAGCTATATTCTAAAATAATTTTAATGTTTGGCTGAACTAAACCACAGTGAGAGAGTTGCTAATGAACAGTTTCATTTGCATTCTATATCTGTTACACTAAGATGCATTGCAGCACAGGAGGCCATTTGGTCTGTCGAGTCTGTGCCAGTTCTGTGCAAGAGTAATCCACAATTGCCCTGGACTTCTACAGTTGTTTACATTTCTGGTACTATGCAATTTCTTCTTGAAAGCTCCAACTGAATCATCGTTTGTCTGTCTTTCAGGCAATGCATTCCAAATCATAATCACTCATAAAATACCACACATATAAGTTTTAGTTCATTGCCAGTTTGAGATTTTGGCGGGCTGGACAGGTGGATATGGTGGGAGAAGCAGGCATGTTATTGCACTGAGTCAGAAGGAGACTAGATTAATGGAGCTGCAAATTGTGGGGAGCTCTTCATTGATGAAGTAGGCTTATAAGAATGTGCATGATTGAGAGAGGCACTCAGCCAGTGGCACAAGAATGGTATCCAGTGCGCAACAGATTAGGGGACAACTGCTCTGTACACAATCAGCCAGTGTAGAGAGTCAGAACCCTCCTGGCAATGTTGGGATATAGGAGAAGTTGGCAACATGGTGGCCGAATGGTTAACACTGATGCCTCACAGCACCAGGGACCCGGGTTCGATTCCATTTTGGGCAACTGTCTGTGTGGAGTTTGCACATTCTCCCCGTTTCTGCATTGGTTTCCTCGGGTGCTCCTAATTTCCTCCCATAGTCCAAAGATGTGCCAATTGGGTGGATTGACCATGCTAAATCGCCCATGATGTCCAGGGATGTGGATTAGACAGGGGAAATGTACGGTTACAGGGATAGGTTCGGGGATGGGTCTGGGTGGGATGATTGTTGGGGGGATGGTGTGGTTTTGATGGGCCAAATGGCCTGCTTCCACACTGTGATAAGTAAATAAGGTTCCTTGCCATAAAAGGAATTCTCGCTGAGTGCAAGGAAGGCAACATACGGTAATTGGAAAATGACTGTGATTTTTGGATCTTGTGACACTGAGGATCACCATCTTTGAGAGGAGATGCAGAGCCCAGACCATGATGCAGGAAGAGGAGCATATAGGCAAGGAAGGAAATTCTCAGCATAGGATCTAACTCTGAAGATAGAGCTTCCTGCACATGTCGAAGAACCAGTGCCACAAAAGATTATGGCAACCCAGATAGATGGTCACTGAGATTTGTGCTGTCACCCATGGAAGACTTTGTACCTTACAACACTGCTCCCCCTACCTTGTCAGTAGCCATCAAAGTCACTCACTGTGGCCTTGAACTACTTTAACCCTGGTCAGTTCCAATGCTTTAGTAGCATCTTGGAAGTTGCTGCACGTGATCACAACTTACAGGCCACTGATTGATTGCCTATTCCATAGACATAAGAGGTGTATTCAATTACTTCACAGCCGCAAGAAATAAAAATATTTTGTCACAATCACTGGATTCCTCCAAATATAGAGCATCATCAAGGCATTGAATTTATCATGAAAAGTGAATTGTACTTCCTCAATGTTCAACTGGTTTGCAACCGTTGCAAGAAATTCCTGCCTGTGTGCCCTTATTTTATTGACAGTTACCACTTCATTCTCTGGCAGTCGATGTTCCTGAAATATCTTCTCCTGCTGCACAGACTTCTGATATCCATGCATGGCAATTGCTTCTGCTTGAAGAAGCTGATGTGTCAGCACACCAATCAGCGTGAATTGAACTCTCAACGTTGTGTGGGCTTAGATGGAACATTGCTGGCAAAGCAAAGTTATGCAGCTCATCATTCTCTCCTTCACATTCCATGGATGAGTGCTTGTCCAAAGCTATTCGTTAGAAGGGATGACTTCCAATCTGTCTATGCAACCTGAAACTGAAGCCACAGAAGCTCTGCAACAGAAACCAGCTGATCATCAAGACTACCAACAAGCATGTGAATAAAGGTACCCGGATTCTACAAGCATCTTGCACATTGTGGTAGTCTGCTGCATTGTCTAGAACATGGCCCTCCTTGAGGCCCTGGCCTTTTCTTCACCTCTATGAAATGTTGGCATCACTGTATTCTTGAACTGCTGCAGTGCCTTTAATGTAGGTAGACTCATGATGCCCTTAGGGAGGGAGTCCCAGGATATTGACATAGTGACACTGAAGTAATTGCGATATATTTCCAAGCCAGAGGAATAGGAGAAACAGGACAAGGGCAATGAAGAGCAGAGGGGTACCTTGGCTGCAAAGGGGCCTGGCACAGGTTTTGGTAGGATGCTTGAACCACCAGATAATTTAATCCATGCACATTTTCCACGTACTGGCAAGTGAGACATAGTACCTCTTTTGTCTCTTCCTAGCCCAAACTAATTTTTAGTTTATTATAAAATTATTTTCTACATATCACTTGCACCGAGAACTGGGCAAATAAATTAACTTGCTGTCCCTAACAGACTTAAGACCACTCCATATGCTAAATTTAAAATAAAAACAGCATTTCCTTTCCATTTTGCACGATTCAACTTGCACCAAATTGCCAACTTTAGCATTGATTTTTGCACTGCTTTTACAACCATTCTGTGCTACCACTCAAGTTTTTACCTCCCAATACAGCACTTTTTTTTATTGATTAGAGGATGACTAGATTTTGTCTCCTGTGACATTTTTACTTTTATAATGCAATATAAGTTTATATTTGGTTAAAAATTCTGTTGACAAAGCTGCTGGTTGAATTAGATCAAAACTTTCTCCATTAGAATTCCATGTGACATGAACAAATAGTGGGAAAAAAATTATAAACCTCTTCCAGTGAGCTGGATCTGCGTTCCATTGAGGACAGTGTAATTATAGCAGTGATTATCCTATTCAATCATATTAATATATATTTGTTCCTAGACATTGACATTGACATTATTTCAGATTGGATTTCATCTATGACTTATTTGAGCATGCATCAAGCAAGATCAATGAAGACACACTTAAATCTGGAAGTAAACATCAGAAGCCAACTGTAAGCTCTCAGTTCAAGGTCAGCATTATTTCAGTGCTTGAATTGCTAGTGTTTTATAACTTGTTTTTGATAATAGAGTTGGTGTTGTTCTTATGAATCGTTGACAGTTATTAATGCCAGCATGTCATGCCTGTGATCATGTCACTAGACTAGAAATCTGGTGGCCCAAGGTGGTGGAATTTGAATTCACTTAATAACTTAGAATTATAAAGTTGCAAGCAACGAATGTGGCCATGAAACTGTCACAATTACAAAACCCCATCGAAGTCCTCTAGAGAATGGAATTTGCCATCCTTACGTGGTCGGGCATGACTCCAGACTGTGGTTGACCCTTAACTGTTCTCTGAAATGACCTAGAAAGTCATTCAGTTCAAATTCAGTTGAAGATGGACAATAAATGCCAGTTTTGACAGTGATAACCACATCCCAAGAAAGAATAATGAAAACAAAACTCAATTAATACTGGAGATGAGTAGAGGAAGAAATAGATCAGCAGAGATTTACACCGTATCAGTTTTCTGTCTATTGCAGCTGAAATACTATATTCATGTTCCATCATCCAGCCTCTCTTCCACTTCATCTGAAACCGTTTTAAGAGAGCTTGTTAATGCACCTCGAAATGTGTCTGCATGGTCAGAGCAATAGAAGTTGACTCTACTGGGATCCTTGCATTCTCAGTTTTAATTTTAGTGGCCTAGGAAAGTAAACCCTTCCATCCCCTCTAAAAACTGAATGAGGTAACACAAGGCAAGACAACATCTAGTTACATTTGAAAGATAAACTATTTGCACAGTTGAAAAGACTTTTGAATCTTTATCTTCTCCATATGACCTAATCCATATTTATGAGAGGGAATCTAACCTGGAATAAGCAAGATCTGGCTACAATAAAATGGAGCCAGAAACTGACAGGAAAACCTGTAGTGGTAATCTTTACAAAGGTGGTGTTTCAGGTAGAGGCTTGTAATTTCTTAAGGTCGAAGTAGAGAACAAAACCAGGGTTCCTTGGAAAAGAAGATTAAGAATATGAAGAACCAAAATAGAGGGTATATGACACCTGAAACTGAACAGTCAGCTTTAAACTGAGACCGAGAATGGAGAATTTCAAAAGGGAGATGAATAGGGTGCAAACTAGATACATACCCTAAGAAACAAATATGGGGTATCCAAAGGTAGTCTACCCTGCCTGACTAAGGATATTGATAAAAAATGAAGGTGACATATAATACATAAATGAAAAATAATAATGGCAACAACTCAGAAAGAGTATCTCAAATGCAGGAGAGAGTTTAAAGCTGGAATAATTTAAGGGAGAGGAAGCATGAGGAAAGGATGGCAGGCTGCGCTAAAACAAATAGTAAAACATTCTTCAGACATACTAATAATAAAAAATTAGTGAAGGATAAGAGTGGGGCTTTTAAGGATCAAGCAAATAAGCTGCTTACTGAAACAATGGATATGGCAGAGGTACAAAATGAATATTTTGCTTCTGTATTTACCAAATTAGGAGAGGGTAACAATGGCGTGGTTAAAAACACAGGTGTTGAGCAACTGAACGGTATAATGATAGATGAAGAAGTGCTAAAAGGCTGCCAGCACTCCAGGTAGAGAAGTCGCCATGCCCAGGTAGGATGCACCCTAGGTTGCTGAGAGTTAAGGAAGCAAATTGTGAATCTATTGACAGAAATTTTCCAAGCCCCTCTGAACACAAAATTGCAAATGTGACACTCCTTTAATAAAAGGACAAAGGACAACCCAGGAAATTACAAACCTGTCAGCTTGACATCAGTAATGGTAAAACTGATGTAGACCATAATATGGATAAGGTAAATGTGCACGTAGAGAAAAATAGGTTGATACTAGACAGCCAACATGGCTTTGTCAAAGACAGGTCATGTCTGACAAATTTAATTGAGTTCTTTGACAAGTTGACATGAGCAGTGGATGAGGGTTGTGCTGTGGATGTTGAAGATCTCGATTTTCAGAAAGCACTTGATACGGTGCCACATGACAGATTGATTAGAATTCGAAAGTTTTGGGATTGATGAGTTATTGGCAGCATCAATCAGAAGTTAGCTAAAAGATAGGAAGCAGATGGTGGATATAGATAGGCATTTCTCAGATTGGAGACAAGTTGAAAGTGGCTTTCCACAGGGATGCGTGTTGGAACCCTTGGTTTTTCTGATTTATATAAACAATTTGGAGATGGGTGTTAAGCCAAAATCTCTAAATTTGCAGATGTTCCTAAGCAAGGGAGAATAAACAATTGTAAGGATGCTAAGCAACTTCAGAGGGACATTGACAAATGGGCAGACACCTGGCAAATAAATTTCAATGCAGAGAAATGTGAGGTAATGTATTTTGCTACAAAATACAGAGAGACAATACAAGCTCGATGGCTCAACTTTGAGAGGAGTGCAGGAGCAGAGAGACCTTGGGGTTCATGTGCATGATTCTCTGAAAGTGGCCAGGCAGGGTGAAACAATTGTTAAAAAGGCGTATAGGATCCTTGGATTATAAATAGGGGCATAGAGTATAAAAACAAGGAAGTGATGGGGGAGATTTTTAATGAATATTTCTCCTCCATGTTTATTGAGGAGAGAATCATGGATGCTAAGGAAATAAGGGAAACAAGTGGGGATGTTTTGGACCGCATACATATTACCGGCAAGGAGGTGTTTGCAGCCTTAAAGCACATATATCCCCTGGGCCTGATCAAGTCTATCCTCGAACATTATGGGAGGCTAGGGGAGATACTGCAGAGGCCCTTGCAGAGATTTTTGCTTCATCTTTAGCCACTGGTGAAGTTCCAGGAGACTGGAGGGTGGCTAATTTGTTCATTGTTTAAGAAAGGTAACAAAGACAACCAGGGAACTACAAGCCAGTGGGCCTGACATTGGTGGTAGGCAAGTTACTGGGGAGGATACTGAGGGGCAGAATCAACCAACATTTGGATAGTTAAGAGAGGAGATATTAGGAACTGCCGATGCTGGAGAATCTGCGATAACAAGGTGTAGAGCTGGATGAACACAGCAGGCCAAGCAGCATC